AGCATAGTGCCTAAGGCACTTGACTGCTAACCAGAAGGCTGGCGGTTCAAACCCACCAGCCACTCCTCGGAAGGAAGGTTGGGCAATCTACTTCCATAGCGATACTGCCTCGGAAACCCAAGGAGGGGTCGGTATGAGTCAGGTCCAACTCGACGGCACATAACAACAACAACAAACAGAAACTCAGTACCTGTTAAGTAACAACTCCTGATTTCTTCCTTCTTCCAGTTGCTAGTAACCACTGATACATTTTTGTCTCTATGTATTTGCCCAACAGCTGTTGTGAGGCACCAAAGGAAGAATTTATCAGATGGTGTGTTATAAACTGTGAACGTTATTGAAAAGAAAAATACGACCTCGTATTCACTTTGGCAGCATCTTTTTCAGCCGAGAGTAGAGAAATGGCTCGCTCAGCTCCCTGAGCAGAGCCTGAGCAGGCCGCATGAGGGGGAGACCCGCCCCTAGGCCTCCCCAGAGCCAGAGGTGCCTTGAAGGTGGCTGCGCCCCACTCACCAAGCCATGCAGCATCTCATAGAGGACCGCCCCCAAGCACCACCAGTCCACTGCCCGATCGTAAGGCTCCTTGCGAAGCACTTCAGGAGCCAGGTACTGTTGGGGACAAACACACTTCCTTGAAAGAGCTCCAGCCTCAGTTTTTCCACCTGTAAACAAGGCACTTGGAGGACAAGATCACCAGGGGTTGGGCCTGCTGTGACATTCACTTGTTTGTGCACATGTTCAGTCAGCATCCATTTACCAAAGGCCTGCTTTGTGCAGGGCCCTTTGCCATGTGCTGAAGGTAGAGAGAAGACCACGGAGGACCACTCTGTACAGTTGTACATGTTGTGCACTGCACAGAAGTACCAGCCAAAGGGGCAAAAGGGGCTGAAATCCTGGCTGTGCCCCATTCACCAAGCCATGACCCTAGCATAGGGCTAAATCAGGTGACTTTATTTTTATTTAAAGGGGCACTTTTTCTAATCAATCTACTCAGAGAGGGTGACTTTTTAACTTGTGCAAAGGCATCCAATGGGCTATCCTTGTCCTGGGAACAGGACAGTCCTGGGAGCACTCACAGTGCAGTGGGGAGACTAACAGGTAAAGTTATGTGGCACTTACTTGCATGGGAAATCTTAGTGGCAAAGGGATGGAGAAAGGTCAGGAAAAAGGAGGTGACACTTGAGTTCATACTGACAGATGAACAGACACTGTGCATCTATGTCTTAGAAGGGGAGACAACCTGAGGAACAGCATGTGTTTTCTGCCAAACCCAAGGGCTCTTAGCCTGCCATCTCAGCCACTGAGAAGAGGTATCTTAGCAAAGGCAGAACCAGCTGGAGAGACTGTGTGGGTCTGGATGAGGGCAGAGGGTCCCACAGACCTAACCCCTACTCAGTGTGTGGCCCCAAGTTGCTCATTTAACTCCCCCACCCCAGGGTCTTGGTTTCCTCCTCCATAAAGTGGGGCTACATAATCCCTCCACAGGAGCTGTTTTAAGACTGTGTCCTAATATATGTGTTGGTCCTCAAACAAGGGGAGCAACTGTGGTTCCTCTTGTCCCTGCTCCCCAGCACCCATGGCAGTGGCCACGTCATGGAAGAGATAATGTGTTGGAGCCAGCAGGAGTCAAGGTTGTATATCCCGTTTCCCACCCCTGACAGTCCTAGGAAGGAATGCCTAGGTTGTCAGGCTTTGTGGGGCCAGTTGTGTCCATGTGCAAACACAGATACTGGGTCCTGTTCACGGAAGTCACCTGTTTTCCAGCCAGCCTGGAACAAGTTGTGGCAGCTCACTGAGATCCCAGATACAGCTTTCCAAGCACATGGGGAAAAACAGATCGGCTAAAGTGCTCTCCCAGGTCATATTGGGAGGAGCGTCCCAGTTCTACAGCCTCAGCACCTCTGGTCAACCTGCTCTCTGTCCAAGCCACTGGGAACCCCTTTGGGTCCAAGGTCCAAGGTCCAAGGTTGGTGGGAATTGAAGGAAAAGTTTTACCCCAAGGTTGCAAGGAGGCCTTGACAGAACACACAGACGTGTGAATTACTCCTAAGACCCACAGATATTGATGTTCATGGGGGTGGACCAGTGTTTTATATTTTCAGGCCTTGATCCTGACTCTCAAGCCAGACCCTCATGCTGCCCATGGGCTTCCCCCTATATAGAGAGCAGTGCTGTCCAATCCAGCAGCCATGAGCCATACCCTATCCAACACCTGAAAGGTGGCCAGTCGAAATCAAGATGTAAGGGTAAAATACATACCTGATGTCTAAGATTTAGCTAGAAACAAAGCATGTAAAATATCTCAATAATTTTATATTGATTATACATTGAAATGGTAGTATTTGGATATACTGGGTAACATAAATTACATTATTAATTGATTACAGGATTAATGTCATCTGTTTCTTTTTACTCTTTAAATGTGGCTGCTAAAAAATTTAAAATTGCTTATGTGGTTTGTCTTTCTATTTCTAGTGGCCACCATTGTTGCAGAACATCTGGCCAGGTCCCGGCAGCCCCAGAGCCAGTGTCCCTGGTACGCAGAGAGGAAACCGAGGCTCAGTGCACAGTCAGCTCAAGGGAAGGCATGGGGTGGAAGGAGGGAGCCCTCTCACTGCAATCTGTTGACTCTTAAAAGGAGCTGTGGCCTCAGCCACTGATCTCTCTCAGGAAATTTCCACTTACCTCAGGGGTGCCACAGAACGTGGATGTGGTCTCTTCGGGCTCCACACCTTCCTTGCAGAGGCCAAAATCCGTCAGCACCACATGGCCCTGGGAATGAGGGATGGACTGGAGGGTGGCCTAAGCCAAGGAAGGGTATGGCCAGCCCCAACTCTACAGCCTAGATGACCTGCTGTAGATCAGGGGCTGTGGAGCCTGATGCCCCTGGCACAGAGACCCAGGGCTGGATGCCAGGAGTACCCAGGGAGCATCAGATAGCATTCCACTCTCTGCCCCTGGCTCATCACACTGAGACCCACCTGCTACGACATCAGCAGCTCTAGATGGTTTTTGCTAGAGGAGCCTGGTGGTAGCAACTCCCCTGACAGAGGGCTAGGGACTTAGCTACTTGGCAGGAAGATGACCAATGGAGCAGTGGATACTACAGACCTCAGCACAGAGGACCTCTCTAGGGCTGGCATGCCATCCTCCTCCCACTGCTGGGACAGCTCACAGCTGGGAAGTGCCCTCAGTGACAAGAAAGGCCTCATGCATTGAACCCACACCTGTGGCTTCCAACCAAACAACAGACAGGCCATATGAGGTAAACATGTACCTGAGGTAGATACAGTCCTTGGAGAGAACAATCATGGGAGAAAGAAGGGCTGCTTATGCAGCGGGAGACAGCTCAAGGGGGCAGGAGTGCATGGAGGGTGGACACAGGGAAGAGGTAACTATCAGGAGGAAGTGGGAGGGGAGCTGTTCCATTAGGGTAAATTGTGGTCAATGTCATGAGACAAAGTGTATGTGAACTGCTGTATGAAAGTGAATTTGCTCTGTAAATTTTCACCCAAATCACAATTAAAAAAAAAAAAAAATGCCTCATGCAACATTACACACTCCCTAGAGGCAATCCACACCCAATGACTGGCTGATGTAGACGCATAAAGGCCCAGCCTCCGTGCCTCAATTTGGGACATTTCTAAAGAGCCACTCTGCTCCAGGACCTCCCAATCCTATGAGACCAGCTTCCTCTACCCTGACCTGCCTTCCTTGCCCCTGTGAAGGTGAACCTTTTGAGAACATTTCCCAATAAACATTTTGCACCCAACTCTCCATCTCAGAGTCTGTTTCCAAAGAAGCCAATCTACGACATGGAAGGACTAAGACATCTACTGATCTCCACCTGATTCTGCCCCTGCCCCATAGAGACCTCTTAACACACATGTGCATATACGTATACACATACATACAGTCTCATGTGTACCCAATACACATGTTCATGCATGAATGCATGCATGGGCACACACGTATACACATACTCGAATATACCCTCTACTCATGTAGGCATGTACAATGTGTACACATGCATGCATGCACACACATACATACTCATGACACAGTACACACATGCAGCCACGCCTAAACACACAACATATACCAACCTGGCAGTCCAAGAGAATGTTCTCTGGTTTCAGATCCCTGCAAAAAATATGAGAAAAGATAAAAGCCCTGGAGTGTCCCAGTCATTTAGTGCAGACAGCTAGGGGCCCAGGGCCCTGGCAGAAGGACCAGTCATGGAAGCCTGAGGAGGACAAGCACTTGGGTCTCAGAAGAGGAGCCCCCAACCTACCCCAGCTGGTGGGCTCTCCTCCTCCTCTGAGAAGGGATCAAGTTCATCACCAGGGTTTCATCAGGATTTAGGGGTCCACCCAACCCCTGGTGTTGGGGCAGGAAGGCCTGGGCTGGGTCTCACCTGTAAATGATGTTGAGAGAGTGCAGATAGCCAATGGCGCTGGCTACCTCTGCGGCATAGAACCGGGCCCGCGGTTCCAGGAACCGACGCTCCCGTTGCAAGTGGAAGAAGAGCTGGAGGGGAAGGAGATATATGTGAGAGACCCTGAGGTGCTCCAGGTTTCTGGTGTGCATGGTGGGGGCCCATATGATCCCCACCCTGTGCAGCAGCCAAGTGCACCTTCTCTGAGTTGCAGTGTACTCATATAAAATGCCACAGAGCAGCTGCAGATGTCCAAAACGTCAGCAGGAAGAAAAGAGTAAATAGCATTTATTTTGCACCTGTTTTCCCTGTCATATATCTCATTTAATTGTCATGACAAATCTCAAAGTATCAAATATTATGCCAGTTTCATGTAAGAGGAAACTAAGAGGATCAGAGCACCTGGGTCGTTCAAAGATGTGCTACAACCCAGGCAATAAGATGATTACAGCTGTCAAACAGCCCAGATTAGATCTGCCCAAGGGCCAATCACTTTGGTCTATTCTGCTGGCATGGAAGGGCCTTTACCCCCACTGGGTGGGGAGGAGGTTTTAGGAGAACACAAAGACAAAAAGTCCCCTCTTGGCATTAGGGCAAAAGGCATGAGGTCACCCAGGTTGTCTGGAGTCACTAAATTTTGTCATATTGCCCAGAGGGACAGAGTGAAGTCCAGGAGGGAACCTGGTTTGTCCCAGGTGTGCTTCTGGGTCACCATGTGTCTACCACAATGACCTGGTCACCACCACCCTCGTGGTCTATGGTGTAATATGGAGGCACTGGAAATCTCGACCACAGAGCTCTTCTTATTGATCTTTCCCAGGTTCATCAAAGTGAGTCTGTGGGCAGCTTCACCTGGGGAAAGCCTGGAAGCATTATGGCTGGAAGTCAAACACACCTGCATTCAAATCCTGGCTCTGCCAGATACCAGCTGAGTAGCTTTGAGCAAGTGAGTCACCTCTCTGAGCCTCAGTTTCTTCAGCTACAAAATGGGTTTGTTGTAAGGATGAGGTGAGATCATTCCAGCGCTTGGTACACAGTGGGTATGTGGAGAGCTCCCTGCCAAGAGCCAGCCAAGGGAGGCTCCTTGTGGGCCCACCCACCTCTCCCCCGTTGGCATAGTCCAGCACAAAGTAGAGCTTCTCAGGTGTCTGGAAGGAGTAGCGCAGGCCCACGAGGAAGGGGTGCTGTACATTCTTCAGAAGCACGCTGCGCTCCGCCATGATATGGCTCTGCTGTGGGGTCACACAGACAGGGGTCCATGTCATAGCTCACCACGGCACCTTTTGCCCTGTCATAGCCCACAGGGCCTTCCCAGTGGGAGCTGCCCTGCCGAGGACCATCTCATGCCCCTTCTCAAACAACCCTCTAGAGTTGCCTATTGCCCTCCAAGCCAACTCAAGCTCCCTGCCTGGTATTCAGGGGTCAGCATGGTCAGCCTCATGCCCGGCCAGTCTAGATGGGCACAGCTCCAGCTCCTGGATCAGAAGCCCAGGCCCCTGAGGTGATAAGCAAAGCATATATGATGACTAATTACATAAAAGTCCCAAGGAAAACTTATTTAAGAGGAAAGAAGCCATGCATTCAACACACATGCATCACCCACGTGTGTACCTTTGCTCTTGCTGTTTCTCCTGCCTGGAAGGCCCCACCTTCTTTCCAGACCATTGGAATCATACCTTCAAAACCAGCTGCAAGGCTGCTTCCTCCCCTCCCCACCCCCACGATAGCCTTGTTAACATGAGCCACTCCTTTTCCTGGGTCTGCTGACTTGACATTCAGTCCTCTTTCAGGGCCTGCTCTGTCCTCCTAATGGGGTTGGGTGCTGAAGTGACTCAAATAGCTGAAGCATCTAGAAAATCAGGGCTGGAAGGGCCCTTGGAGAATATAAAGTGTGAAGCCATCATTGCACAGGTGGGGAGGGCAGAAGACTTGCCTATCATGAGACTGTGTTTCCCAGGGAACGGCAGAGACCAGGACTAGGTCATCCCAAAGGCTCTGCAGGCGAGGCAGCTTGGTGTGCCTTTCGTGAGAAGGAGCAGTGTCTGGGCACCACCTGGTCCCTGGCTGTGACCACCTCTGTACCCTCTCTGCACCCAGCCCCATGGAGCCCTCAAAGTTTAGCCCATCTTTGGAGGCCATCTTAGGCTGGGGGATGAGGGACAGGAGATGAGCTCTGGTACCTCTTTCTTCTTTAAGATGGACTTTTTTTGTAGCACCTTCACAGCATAGAATGTCCCATCGGACTTGCGCTTGGCCAAAAGGACCTGATCAGAAGCACAGGTGGAAGGTCTTGTGGGTGAAGGGGCCAATCACCCGCCCCTCCGAACTTCAGATTCCCTGATGGTGGCACAGGACCTCCAGCCCCAGCCCTGGTTCCGTGATTCTGCAGGAATGGAGTCCCCTCTCCCTCTTGACCCACGTAAGTGACAGGCAGGAGAGGCTGGAGAAGGGGAGACCCAGATATCCCACCTTCACCCCCATCATTCACCTTCCCATAGTTCCCTTTGCCAATGACTTTGAGGAAGTCGAAGTCGGTGGGCCCGGCACTGGGGGAAAGAGGGAAGAACATGGGTCAGCATTTGTGAGCTCAGGAAACCTGGTGTCTGAGACCAAACCCTGGGAGATACAGGGAGCTTTCTAGGGACCAGAGCCTCATTGCTGCTGAAGAATGCCCTGTTCTCATGGCTAAGAGAAGGCTTATAAGATTTGACCCTGCCCAACAGGGGAGTCACCATCCAATTAAGAATAGATAAAACCAGACATAATGATATAGAAAGTAAGGGATCTGGTGCAGGAATCTGTGAGAAGGGCCTGAAAGATGGGGAGTTGCTAACAATGTACACATCTGGGGGCATTCCAGGCTGAGGGTTTAGTATGGGCACAGGCCGGGGAAACAGTGGAAGATAAAGTTAGGAAAGAGTCTTGGACCTAGATAATGGAAGGCCTTGAATGGTAGATCAGAGAACTTGAGTTTTATTGCCAAAGCAAGGGAGCCAGGTAGGACAGCTGCTTGAGAGACCAGAACTCACTTTGGGTTGGCTGAAGGCCCCAGGTTGATGTTCCCATTGGCCTTTGAGAGTGAAAGACATTTAAAGAAAGAGAGAATTAAGATCAGCAGGTCCTTCTTAACTGCAACCTCTCCCCTGGCCCAGGCTAATTCCCTTCTCCGACACCTCCACTAGACTAGCTTGTTTGCCTGAGTCCTCCCTCCCTGCTTTCCTCTTTCCTTTCATTCAACTCCCTACCTGCCCAGCCATCTACTCACCTACCCACCCATTTACTTATCCACCTATGCACCTATCCACCCACCCACTCATCCAACCAACCATCATCTGCTTCTCACAACAGCCTTGGAAAACTCCTGTTTGTTGTGTCCATTTTAAGGATATGGAAACTAAGGCCCAAAGAGGAGGTGTCCAGGGTTTTACAGGCAGCTGGGCTGAGATTAGAGCCCAGATGTCCTCACAACCAATCCCATGATTTTGCTACACCATCTACTCCTTGAAGCCCTTGTACACATCTCTATTTATCTTGCAAATGGCCCAGTTCTGGTCTGGGATGGCCCATGGGGTTGGCCAGTGACTCCACAGATTTCATCCGCCTTAAGAGGAGGTGAACCCTGTGGTGGTGGCTGGGGACCCAGAGCCACTCACCTGTGGACTGGGAGTCCTGGCCTGGCTAGAGTCCATTTTTGTATCAGTGATCAGGTGGGCTCTGTTGGCACAGAGGGGAGTGAGCACGAGAGCTGGTATTAGGAGGTTAGCTTCACCTATCTAGGACTTCAGGTGCTACTGCTCTCACCTCCCTGCCCACTGGGGCCCTCTCCACTGCTCCCCAACTCCAAGCACCTGCCATAGCCTAAGCATCTCCTATCCTAGAGGCCAGCAATCCTTGCATGGGGCAAGACATTATAATCCCTAATCCTAGCCTTTTGGACCACATCTTAGTGAGAACGGTGGAGTAACCCCTTCTAGGCTATTTTTTCAGGGAGTCAAGCGTGGGGAGATAGCCAAAGCAGCAAGACCCCTGTCATCCTGGGCAGCTCCAGAAACCCAGGCAGCCAGGGCTGCAAGGACCCTTGGAGCACATCAAGTCTGCAACTCTTCCACCTCCAACCTCTCCATTTCACAAATGGGAGGCCTTAGACTTAGAAAGGGGAGGGGACTTGATTAGGACCACATAGCTTGTGATGGGCAGGTTGAGCTTCCCAGTCTCCCATATAGGTATGTTGGAGAACCTGAATTCCTGTGGACAGCCCCAGGCTGGGCTGTTTGCTGACTATCATCTCCCTGACTCAAGGAAGGACCTCTACTCAGTATTCCAGGAATGGTGGCTGTGTTGGGGACCTTGCGCTGCACCACAGAAAGACCTAAGGCTGGCCAGTGTCTGAGGTTAAACATCAGAGGGTATGTATGACCAGCAGGTCTATGTGGCTAGGAACACAGTATCTTCCCAGCCCCTGCCCTGCAGGATAGAAGAGGCCTGGGTATCCAGGCCCTGGCTCAGGGTGCTCAGGCCCCACAGCCCTACCCCTGCTTGGAAAGTCAAGGCTAAAAATCAAGATCTCACTGGGAGACCAGCTGCTTGTGGGGCTGCTGGGGACTCTGCATCCTAAGACCACAGTCTTGACGCACTGTGGGGCCCAGCTATGGCCTGGCCTCCCTGAGCAGGGGCTGTGCATCTTTACAAGGTGGTCCTAATGAACCCACCTTATGGTTTCTCGGGAACTTAGAAAGTGACCAGAAGGGGAGGGAGGTAATCCCCCAGCCCAAGCTGCTGAGAGGCCCAGCCCTGACAAGCCCTAAGAGAGGGAACTGCAGAACTGCCAAATAGGGAGTGGTGCCTGGCTTGGCCAAGGCTCATTCGTCTGTGTTCCTGCAGACAGCACACAACACTCTGCACACACCCTCTGGTGCTGACCCTGACACTCTCTGCCAGGCCCCAGCCTCCCTTAGCCCAGCCCCTGGTTCTACATACCTGTGAAGTCCAAGGAGAGGCCACGGATTGCACCAACAGCTGGAGCTGGTGGATGGACAGTGGGTAAGAGAGCTGCTCTCTGTTCTCCCAACAAGGGCCAATGTGTCTGTGACTGGCCGCTGGCCCGCCCTCAACACAGAGCTCAGAACTCCCCACAGCAACGAGGGGGCTGGTCAATGTCACATGGGATCCAGCAGAGCTGAAGATGGGACTGGAGACCTCTGTTCCCTCGGGGACATCACCTCCCCCCTGGGGGTGGGGAGAAGAAGGTCTTTTCATGTTCTAGTGCAAGGTCCCTAGAGCAGCTAGGAGAGCCAAGGGCTATAGACCCTAGGGGCTTGTCAGGATGTGTGATTATGTGGGCTGGTGTGTTGGGTGGGAGTGAGTACCATATGTACAAGAGGTTTGTGCACAGATATGCTTCAGTGTGTCTGTGGGTCTTGTGAGTCAGTGTGTGTGAGCCTCTGTATGTGGGTCTGTGTATACATGACAGCTTATCAGTACAGGTGTCTACCAAAGCCTATCTATGTGTCAATGTGACCACATCTGTATGTTTATGTCAATGAGTGTCTGTGCATCTGTGACTGTGCATTAGTGCATTCTCAGTGTTATCTGTGATGTGTGTTTGGGTGCCGAGTAGAGGGAGGCTTCCAGTGTTCCTGTGTAGTGTGTGTGTAGTATGTGTCAGTGTGTATTTATATGTATATTAATGTGCCTAGTATGTGTGAGGGAGTCTGTGTGTAGATGTCTGCATGTGTGTCTGCATATAGCTATGGATATCTATTAATACGTATGTATGACAGTGTAACCATGTGTGTATATGTAGGCCTTCGTGTCTGTGTGCATACTAGTGTATATCTGTGCACTTCCTGTGTATGTGTGTGTGAGAAGGGGGCCTGTATGAAGAAGATACTATCCCCAGGACCTGCCCAAGCTCCATGTAGACTACCAAAGACTGCAAATGAGGTCTCAGAGACCTCAGCCATGGGAGCTGAGACCAATCCCCTCTACCTTCCAAGAGTCTGCAGATGCTTTCAGAGGACCCTGGAGTCCAGGTGTCTGGCTCAGTCCACCTGGCCTTGGTTTCTGATTGCTGAGCACTTGATCCTTTAGACTTTCCTGCTGGCCCTTCAAGGGCTCTGGTCTGCTATCCCCAAAGCAGACTTGCTGTGTAAAGGGAAGGAAACAGGGCCCAGGCCAGAACCATGGCTCAAGAAGACCTTGCTACTTGGTGTAATTAGAAGGGACTCAGCAGGGTCCCGTCCTCCCTCCAGCTCAAGAGGTGTTCTGGAGGATGAAGGCACTGACAGAGGGCCTCAGCCCTATCCTCCTGGAGCTTGCTTTGTAGTTAGCACACCCAACAGGTGAGGGGCCCTAAACGCTGAGCAGACAGGGTTGGTAAGAGAGGGAATTGAGTCTGGTGGCCTCTGGGGTCTCTGAAATGTAGGGTTCTGAGGGTACTGGCCAAAGAAAATCCAAGGGAACAATATCATAGCTGTCCATCTTTCAACAGAATAGAAATGTTGAACCAATACACAGATTGGCAGGATGTCATGTTGACAAAACACACACCCAGAACAAGGACATTTCTCTCAATAATAAGACCCTGATGGGGCCTCATGCAGCAGCACTGTCTCTAACAGCAAAATAATAGTGAAATAATGACCTTAGTGTCTGACTGTGGGCCACTTCAGAGTACCCACAGGCTGTAATAGCTCCTCGCTTGACCTTACATCATCTCCAGATACTGTCCTGATTCTTTGTTCTCCTTTCAGTTGAAGTTGTAGAAAGAGTTGTCTGGACTCATTGTTTCCACTGCCTCTTCTTTTTTCTCTTGAACCCATTCTCATAAAGTTTTCATCCCAACACTCAACACCAGAACAGCAGGCCAGTGACCTCCAGTGCCCCCATGTGCCAAATCCAATGATGAACTCTCAGTCCTCATCCTACTCAATCTCTCTGAAGGATCTGACACAGTCGCTTTTCCCACTTGGCTTCAGGACCTCTTGACTTGCCTTCTCTTTTGCTGACTGCTCTGCCTCAGACTCCTAAGCTCAATTGTCCTCTTCTTTTAAGGAACTCTGGTGGCACGGTGCCTAAGGCACTGAACTGCTAACAAGTTTGGCGGTTCAAACCCACCAGACACTCCAAGGAAGGAAGATGAAGCAATGTACTTCCATAAAGATTTACTGCCTTGGAAACCCAATAGGAGTCACTATGAGTTGGAACTGACTTGACGGCAATGGGTTGGGTTGGGTTGGGTTTGGTGGCATAGTGGGTAAGGCATTTGGCTGCTAACCAGAAGGTCAGTGATTCAAACCTACCAGTTGTTCCATGGGAGGAAGATGAGGCAATTTACTTTCATAAAGATTTACAGCCTTGGAACCCAATGGGAGTCACTATGAATTGGAATTGAATCAAAGGCAGGGGTTTGGTTTATGGTTTGTGTTCCATCCTTTAACACTGGCCCATCCCAAGCTCACTCTTTAGATCTCTATCTACACTTGCTTCCTAGTGATCTCAACAAGTTTAATGGCTTTAAATACCTATACTCAATAATTCCAAATGTTCTCTGTCGAACTCTATAGACTTATATATCTAATTGCTTCTTCGGCAATTCACTAGTTATATGTCTACAATCATTTCAGCTTTAACATGTCCACAAGAGAATCCTGATTCACCTTCCTCCTACTCTGACCTAGCCTGACCCTCCCATAGGCTTCCCAGTGTCAGCAAATGGCACCACCACCTCCTCAAAAGTTCAAGCCAGCACCTTGAAATTCATTCTAGAAACCTTGCCTCTCCCTTCCCCTCACTTTCACTCCATTGTGAAAATATATCCCAAAATCTCTGCTGCTCTTCCCCCTTGCTGCAGCTACCATGCCTGAGCCACCATCATCACTGTATGCATTGCAATAGCTTCCCTACCATTGTTGTTGTTTGTTGTTATGTGCCATCAAGTTGTCTAGACTCATAGCGACCCCTCCTTGGGTTTCCCAGGCAGTATCTCTATGGAAGTAGATTGCCCAATCTTCCTTCTGAGGAGTGGCTGGTGGGTTTGAACTGCCAACCTTCTAGTTAGCAGTCAAGTGCCTTGGGCACTATGCCACCAGAGCTCCCTCCCTACTGCAGTACATTGAAGAATGCCCCTCTACCACATATATCCTAAACCCTGGAACCTATGAATGTTATCTTATGTAGCAAAAAAGGACTTTGCTGATGTGATTAAAGATCTTCAGATGATTATCCTAGATAAGAAGACTCACTGCCATCGGGTCGATTCTGACTCACAGCGACCCCCATTGGGTTTCTGAGGCTGTACATCTTTACAGAAGTAGACTGCCCCATCTTCCTTCTGCAGAGCGGCTGGTGGGTTTGAATCACCAACCTTCTGGTTAGCAGCCAAATGCCTTATCCACTACACCACCAGAGCTCTTTTAGATGAGAAGAGTGAACCCTAAATGCAATCAGAGGTATCCATGTAAGAGAGAGGCAGAGAGAGATTAGATGCATAAGCGAAGGCAATGGGACTGTGGTAGTTCGGTTTGTGTGTCAACTTGGCTGGGCCTGGTTGAGTGGCTGGGCAGCTGGATGTAGTATTCCCCATGATGAGACTGGTAATCAACTCCATGGTGGAATCTACTGGGAGCAGCTGAGAATCTGCCTTAGGGAATGTGGTCTGCTTCTTGTATATAAGGAGAAGAAGCCTTGG